TGCTTCCAGTCTAACAGTTACTTTCAAAATGAGTACTGCTGCAGAGAAAATTGGGGATGAACTGCAAAGATCTTTCAGAAAGACTCCCAAGCTCTCTTACAGTAAATGGTGGATTACAAGATAAAAATATTTATTAAAATTACACTCTGATTCCACTTGAGCATTATTAAATATGCAAGTTATTTAACCAAATCACCCAAGTTTAAAAACTCAACTACAAGAATGTAAAAGGATAACCTCTACATGGATCAGAACGCATACCAGATCTATTGAAGGTGAACCATAAATGCTCCCGCCACATGAGATTTTGTAAATGCAACAACGTTTAACATAATCTAGGGCATACAAGCAATGATCATGTGAACCACACCTGCAAAAGAGGCAACATAAATTTTGGTTCGGTATGTTGGAATAAGATTGCCCACCTTTGAATTAAGCCAATTACAATTATCATGCTAAAATACCTTATTACAATAATCCTTTTGTTTTCACAAAAGAAGTAATACTTAAGGATGAGAAATAGAATCTCCATTATCACATTTTCTTTCTCATGATCATTTGTATTCTAAGAAATACTATTGACTTTGAATCAGATTCATCAGAAACACACCAAGAAACTATAAGAGAAGTTACTAAGCATTCTACAATGGGCTAAAAACTGAATAGAGACTTCAACAAGATAGAATCATTTTAAACGGTTTCACCCTTGTCCTTTTTATATAAAAGGAAAACCAATTGATTTGGTATTTTATAGAAACTTCAACAAGAATAGCTACCAAAGAATAGCAGTCTACACCTTAAATAGCACATGTAGTTGACTTATATGAGCAATTAAGAATATTACCACATTAAGTTTCTGCATTTGTCCAGGACTGGCTGCATTTTAACCTTCAAAAAGTTTATCAGCGATTATTTAGTTAAATGAAAAGAAATAAATATCTCACTTACATTCTCGAAGTGCTAGTGAAAACAAATAATAAACAAAGAAGATTATACGTGTATGAAAAATAGACAGAAACAAGAATAGTATTTGAAAATACCATGTCAGAGGGTTATAGGCATTGTGATCTTGCCAGAACGCAGGTCACTTTGTTCCACAGTTTAATTAAGCAAAATGAAAGGTATCATCAGCAGAGATAAAGCTAGTTTCGAGTTTAAAATCCTAATGATAGGATCAGACAATATTTCATAATATTTCCATAAGACTCCTGTTTCTTATTCCAAAAAAACACATTAATATCTGCAGGCACAGATGAATTTATATTCCGCCCTGTGTTCTTAGATTCTGAAGTTCTTAACTAAAACATTTTTAAAATGTTCAAAATTAGAAGTTGTGCAACATAGTTGCAGATTCTAAATGTTAGTGTAGAACTTAGTAAATGCCCACGAAATTGGACAAGATGAAAGTTCATCCTCCGTCCATGTTAGTGAAGGGCTCGGTAATCACCATAACATCCATGCACGCTTAATGCCTATTCCTCAGGGGGGATAACATCTTTGAGACTAGACATAAATATTTTGAAAAGCTAATACCTTTTTTGGTGGAATTAACCAAACTGAAACATTGCAATCTCCATGGTGACAACCCATCATTTAAAGCTTTCGAGTAACAGAAACAGTTTATATATAAAGTTATAATATATTAAGAAAGTATAAGCTGCAAATGGATCAGGTCATCACCGGCATTGCCAAGCATAATATAGTAATAAGGCCTAGTATTAACCAAAGAATAAAGGGATAAAACAACAGCACACAAAGACCAGAAACATGGTCAGACTTGAGACCTAGTTAATTAATCCTTTGTATAAGATCTAATGTTTGGTCTGGCAACTCTCACAGATCAAATGGCCAATTAATGTACAGCATCATCTTTGTGATGCCAACAAGATAACCAGCTCCTGATAATAATTTTGTAAATAACAATTCCTTCACAAAACCATCTTCAGAATTCAGAAAATCATCCTTCTGTAATATGCTTGGCTGAAGACAAATTCCCGATTCTACCGATAAAATACTATTGTTATAAAAGATCAGGTCCAATTGGCGATACAAACCATGTGTGGGGAAGGGGGCGGCAGCAATCATGTGATTAAGTGAATAAAAGCACATAACAATTCATAATAATAGCCATACCTCTCCATCTGCTTGAAACGTCCATGATATATTGCCGGTCATGCTATTGAGAAAATAAATTTTCCCTTTATAGCATCCAACCACCACCTATATATAGAAGCTGCAGTTCAATTAGTTAAACATTTCAAAAAAAAAAACTATCACACCAACTCAGACCAACTAGGTAAATCAAGAGGAAAAAAATAACATACATGGGTAAAATCTCCAGTTATTGCTGCTGAACACTCTATACGGCCTTCTAACTTGACCTCCCACCGCATAAAACCACTAAATAACAAATATGATATGATCAGCTAATGTACTTATATATCGGCTTAAAGTAAACACAGGATAAAGAAAATGCATTCAGTCAGCATAATAAAAAAGGTAGGACTAACAGAGTAATTTACTACCCAAAAGTTGGGGATTAACAATATTATTGCACCATAATAAATTTATAAGTGGTCAGGAACGAGAGGACTTTAACTAATGTAGCGACAAGGACTAGGCATACGCATAAATGAGCATGTATGCCTTAAAAAGGATACAATAGTTGGTTGATTCAACCAAGGAGATATCGCTTAGAGCAGCTTTTGCCACAGAAAGAAGCAATTTTCGAAGATTAATCATAACTCGGATATACCCTAAGAGTAGGTTTTATTAAGATTATATGGTGTTCCTTACCTGACAGCATCAATGCATAAAAATATGTGTGAATGTGATCCAATATATAGAGTTATGGTGCCATCTTTATATACAACCAATGGTGAAGCATCAACACACGACTTGAGCAAGACCTTCCACTGTTCTTGCAGACACCCTTTTGTACATCTTGGAATTTTGATTAGTGGGCATACTTGATGAGCATTATTTACTTCTCTTTCACCCGAAGTCATGATTTGGTTGCAGCGACTAAGCGAATATCCGAAAGGTAAACACATATCTGTAATCCATACATCAGTGTGACCATAAAGTGACTCCATCCCATGTGAAGCTGGAAGTAAAGAAGAGTGCACAGTCACAGAACCAACACTAAAGAGTGAGTTGTCATGTTGCTCGAGGTGGCTCATTTTTTTATTTGCATCAAGTTGCCTACAAATATCAAGAGTTCCCTTTCCATTATCTTCAAGCAACAACTCTCCAGGTAGCTCTTTTGACCTGTCAAATTGAGGCAGTGTGTCATCAAGTACCTTGGCTCTTTTGACAGCAGGACTGTGGCTGATGGAACTTTCGTGTAGATTTTCTTGATGTAATACACAATGCAGAAGCTTAAGTGGGGTAGGAAAGGCATAAAGCAATCTCATATCTATCGCCAACTTATGAGCAGCATGGGCAGCAGAAATTGAGTTACCACCCATCAGGAAGAAATCATCATTTTCCGAAATTTCTTCAACTAGAAGTGCATCACGAAATGCCTGCTAAATGTAACATGCATGAGTTAATGATAAAATGTGAACAATTCAACATTATTACCTGTCATCTCTCTAAATTTCGTACATTAATGCAAAATGCTATGCCAAAAGATCTAGTTCATGAAAAAACATACATCAATATTACAAGAATCCCCTTAAAACCAAAATGGGTTTGTTGTTGTCATGCCCCGGGCCTGTAAACTCGTTGGCAAGATCTAAGCCTTGGGACTCACTGAGTGCAACACAAGATTTGACTCAATTCACTAGCAAATTTGACTAGTCAATGTTGCACTTGACTCTTAGGATTTACATTATAAACCATTCAATCACTCAATCGAGGGTATGGAACAAAAACTTGGGGTATCACAACCAACCCACATTAATTATGCGACGTCCTCGTCATGGCATCACAATTGGTCCATCCCAGTATCACCACCTGGTGATGTGGCATCTAAAGGTGGCTCCAACCGCAATCACGCCATATAGCACTTAGTCCCGCATACAATTTAGCTCCATATTTTAAACAAGTTAACTGTTCTGATACCATTTATCACGCCTCAGGCCAGCAAGCCTGATGGCGATATGTAAATCCTAGAACCCACAAAGTGCAACGCAGGGTTTGGAAATTGACTAGTCAATATTGCACTTGACTCCTTAGAGTTACATTATAAATCATTCAATCACTCAATCAATATCTGATGTGGGACTAGATCTTGGGGTATCATAGTTATGAAACAAAAGCCTCCAATGAACTCACAAAATGTAAACCAATCTTCATATTGCAAGGTGTCAACTGATCAGTGAAAGAATTAGGCAATTATATCTGGATTAAGATGTCACCTTGATGTTTCAGAACAAGTGAATATAAAAGCAGCTCGAAAAGACTATTATACGTTTATTCATGCCTCTATCCACAAACTAAATAAGCAGTTACTTTCTCACATGGATTTACGTCAGCTAGGAATATATACAAAAACAAGAAACCTAGAATTAACGTTGTGGCAGAAAGCAAAATTGGAGGAATTTGGAAAAGGATAGAAGACAGAACCTCTTTAATGAGTTGCAAATGAGCTCCAGAAGAAATAGATTTCTTATATTCAATCCTATTCAATATTGGCATGTACTGTGATTTTGACAGCATGGAATAATCTATTTTCCCAGAAGAAGTCAGGGGCAGCTGCTCAATACAGAAAAAATGTCTAGGAATCATTGCTGAGGGCAACTTCTTTACTAAATTATCCCTAATAGAAGCACTAAGTTCTTCAACATGCTTTTGGTCTACATCAGATGCATAACCTTTCTGCAATTTCTTGGTAGTTTTCATCACAAAGAATGATCGAAGAAAAAAGAGCTCTCCATGAGCTTTTTCACAAGTGACAGCAGCATCGATCACGTCAGGGTGTTCCTTCATAGCATTTTCAACCTCTTCCAAGGCCACACGCTGCCCACTGACCTTTATAGTGCGATCTTTTCTCCCAAGAAAGACAAAATTACCACTCTTTAAGCGCTTTGCGAAATCCCCTGTCCTGAAATGTAATGGATTTGCATCGTATTTTATAGCATTCGCAGTAAGAGGCTCGCCAAAGTAGCCCCAAAATACACATGCCCCTTTAACAGATATTTCACCTTCATCAGGCACGTCCTTTTCACCAACAAGATCAATTTCACAATTATATATTGGTAGTCCTATAGGCACACTACTTAGTGACTCAGCTTCCAAGATACTTGGTAGATTTTTGCAATCAAAATACATGCAGTCACCTGATACCTAAAAGCACACAACATAAGTGATAGCAATTTATATCTTTGGTAACTACTGTTTTTTATAAAAAAAAATTACAGATGTAACAAAGTAGTCAGAAGCATCAGAACAAAGATTGAATTAAAAACAAGAAGGAAAACAATCTAGAACCAATAACCAGGTATTTATATACCAACATCCTAGATACAAATGTACTATCTTGCTCCAGGGTTAGGAAGACCTGATATTTCCTATTCTCTCCTCTCCTCAGCATCTATATTCTCCTTTCTACAGCTATATTTTAGTTCAATGACTTCTGTTAGTGTTATCACCTTTAGTCTACATGTTAGCATTATGATGTTCTCAATCTATTACATGAGATTAACCCAGTAGATTTCCAACAAACAAGCTTAATAACTAGATTAAGAATATCATTACAGCATTACTGCAAAATATTGTCATCCATATATGCAATAGAGACTGACAAGCCAGTAAGGAAACAGTCAGGTTCAAATCCTCAAATTCGAAAACCCTTCAATTCCATCCAATTATTTTTAAATCAATTCTTACTGCTTGATGTAAAATTTGTACCTGTACTGACATGAGACTTACCACATTATGTCCAATATCTATCTACAGATGATCAAAGCATAAAAGTTTTCATTAAAAAACATTATAGAAATCAATCCACATACATAGCCTCAAAATTAATAGTTTGCTTCAACAAATAAGAATGCACATAAGAGGCTGAAGACATTAAAAGAAGTGGTTAGCAGAAAATGGAGCTCAAATAACAGGTTGTTGCACTTAGGTTTTAATATTGTGGCATTTGAAAATAATCTCCAATCTTGACATCTACATGAAACGAACCTCTGTATAATATCAACATCTGACCTCTGTACTTCCATACATATTTAAGATAGTCGTCTCAGGCAAGAGCTCTTGCAGAACTTTCCATAAAGATATAAACAGAATTTCCCCACTAAGCACCAACAGCTTTAAGGACTTGCAAACAGGCATCCAAGGTGAGGTCCCAAAAGGAATGATAGTCCTCATCAATGTCGGAACACAAGTCAATCGAGAAATGCCATATGCCTGAAAACACAAACACTCAACACTGTCACAAGACAATAGATAAGAGAATATTCAGGTTAAATTATGTGCAAGAAAGTGTTAAAGTCAGGTTTCCGATTATAGCATGACCAACAAGAAAATAGGCACTACTCATTAGTCATTATAAGCTGTATCAGGCTCTTGCTTTTGGCACCAAGTTAATTTTTCGTCAGTCAAAAAACTAAGACGAGAACATTGCTAGAATTCCCTTTCATAAAACAACTTAGATTTTCCTATAGAACAGCTTCAAGAATATAAAATACTGTTGAAACTAAATACAGTACCAATTAATTTACGTTCAAGAAAGTATAGCTGGTCTTTAAGACGAGCGTGTTGGTAATTATTTAGGAAATGGAATTGACTGATCCAATGAGTTTCGATCTAACAAAAGGAAATTATTGCTGGTGTTGAAGATGATGATGACACTCTTGCATAAATCATTCTTATGAAAGACGCAAGCGAAATATTAAACCGAAGACAAGGTAATTTACACAAAAACATATGAAATGAACACAAGAAACTTCGAAAAATGTTAAACCAGACGGTAGATAACTTACACAAAAACCTAAGACATGTTTAATCGAAACGCCGAAAATGTGTCTACCTTAATCAAATTGACAATGTGTGAAGGGTTAGCTTTTAACTCATTAATCAGAGGAACAATGAGCGTGGTGCTAGTTAAAATAGCACTTAGGAACTCCTGCAGATGGTCAACAAAGCTGATGGAAGTTTTGAACAATAAAATATCCTCTCCCCCAAGGGGGAACTGAGCTTGCATCCACAAAAATCTGTTCAAAAGCCCTGAACATAATAAAATAATATTAGTAAAACTAGTCAAAGAACCAAAAAGGTCAATGACCCAAAAAAGATTAATCAAGAACAGAATAAAAAACATGTGAACAGAAGATGGAACATTATTAGCAGCTAATGTGATTGACTAATCCCCAAGTCAACTATGCAGCCTTTGTTGCTTTACTTCTTAATTAAGTTAGAAAGGGAAAACATTTATTGCATTGCCAACTCCCTCACCTGTAAAGTGTGTCGGGTTACATAGCCATCCACATACGTTTCCATGAGTATTCTACTGTCATGTGGTTTTCCGAAAAAAGATGCTTCTTGAGTTCGACAATATGCTTTAATTTCTCCACACACACGCCCCAAAAAAACCCCTTCTTAAACTCGCCCCACAATGACAAATGATGCTAGGCACTAGTAGGCAGTAAATCAATTGGTCTTTATATTATTTAGCCTGAACATTAATTGTTAAGCCATCTTTTTCCTGTATTTGTGAATTTACAATTAGTATATCCTGTTTTCATCATACTAATGTTAGATCTTTTTTATTTTAAATCTCTTTTTCAAAATTCTATCTTAGAAATATTGACTCTCTAATTTTAGGTGCAGACCTGGTCTTCCAATTTAGTCTTGATCCAGCTATCTATTACTTAAAAACAATTCTTTTAATTCATCCCCAAACACTAAATATGGTTGCTGGCTTGCTGCGTGCTTTAAAAACGATAACAGTGTCAAAAAGGCAGCAGCAGCATGTTGATTAAAGAGCTCTTCATGTAGGGTCCCTCCTTCCCAGGACGAGTGAATAGAAATTTAATGGCAAGATAAAAGACTAGAAACAAAATGTCATCGAAGTTTACAGATATCAAGAAAGAAAGATTCACGGACAAACCAGTTACAAAAAGTACAAATCAAATGGAAGCAGAAGTTTTCTAGGATGAGTAAATACTATGTCAAGCCAATTTAAAACGGATATACACATGCATACCCATGGTTCTAGTAAGTTTCCATTATACCTGTTTCAGTGCCACAAACACCCTTCGGCCTTCCAGTTGAACCAGATGTATACATCAGATAACAAAATTTTCTCGGGTTTCTACTTTCACACGGCCAGACTAGACCCGACTGAACAAAGTTGTCTTTAGGGCCTGCTCCCATAGATAAATGAAGAACAGAACAGCCAGTCCTGTCAACAATCCAATTACCAACATCTGATCTCGAAGTTTTTCCCCTTGAGCTAAACACTGAACATCCAATAATGAGACTAGTTCTCGAAGAAGAAACAATTGACATTATCCTCTCTTGAGGCCATGTGGGATCTAATGGCAAAAATGCCTCCCCACACCTCAGAATTGATAGGACTGCTACAATGTATTCCACAGAAGGGTGTATGTGAACTCCCACTATCCGAGGGCTCTCGCTAAAGAAACATGCCGCGTTTGTAATTTCTTGTGAATGATGCATGTCGTGGTCACTACGAAAAGAATCTGCATCATTGCTTGCTAGATTAGCTCAATAGTTTAAATCCTGCTGATTCTATACTGTATAAAACTCTACATTTAATCAAAATGACTACAAATACTCATCAAAATACTGAATAGAACTTAGAAACTCTCCACTGCTATTATAATTACATCTACAGATATTGAAAAATTTATGAATTTTCAATAATCAATAAGGAGTTTTTCGAAATCACAACAATTTTTTTTTTCAAAAAGAAAAATCAATGAGTGAGGGAGAACCCTAACCATTGGGCCTGACAAGGTCGGGATCATCGCCGCCGTCGAGGACGCGGCGGATACGGCGGCTGAAGGATTCTACTGCCGAGAGTATGTCGCCGAAGGTGAAGCGCTCATCGCTGTCGTAGACCTGCGGGAACGAGGAGACCCGAGGGCGGCCGAGTCCGCAAAGATCAGATCTTTGATTGCCGCCGGCGTGGATGACGGAGATTTTGCCGGGAGTTTTGGCGGCGGCGGAGTAAAACTGATGGGCGATGCAGCAGCACGTGCGCCGCTGCTCGTCGGCGGACATTTCGTCGGCGAAACTAGAGCTAAGGGCACTTGGGGCCGTTTATAATGAGAGTTTTTATTGGGCCAGTCTTGCTTGTTCCGGTCTCTAGTCTACACACCCAATTAGGCCTTCTGAAACGGAACCTTGGGGCCTGTTTTGTTAACTTTTACAATTTTTATTTAATTTTGGAAACTAGTATTTTAGTGCACACAATGCCCACATGATTCAGGACACTTGTGTATGATAAAAATGCTTTCAAACTCTTTCCTTGTATAAACTATGAGATCTCCAATATATATTAAAAGAGATAAAAGCATTCACAAGACTAAAAATTTCACATTTTTATGGCGTTGAACGGTTTAGGAGAGTTTTGGATTTTATTGCATTTTGTTATTTAGGGGGTGTTTGGTTAAATGAGGGTGACTCGAATGTGTGAAAGTCGCTTATTTTTACAAGTGCGAAAGTGGATCCATGTCAACATGAAGGGCATGTTTGTTTGCACGGAAGTAATTGTGAAGTAGCTGAAGTAAAAGAAATAGAGGCTACTTCCAAGCAAAAAAGTGTGTTTGGTTCTCTGAAAAACTTACTTCCAATATTCCCTAAATGATTATGTGACGCTTACGTGTCATCCTTACTTCCAAAAAAAATTTACAATCCTCAATACTCAGAAGTAGCTCGGAAGTAGTTGAAATGCATATTAATTATGACATAAATAATTTTTTTATTAATATTTCCTTTATTAGTTACTTCTAACAACTTTTCCTTGATAAGGTTACTTTCTAATAATATTTTCAAATGTTATCCAAACAAAAAAAAATAAACGAAGAGGAAGAAGTTCTACTTCCATTACTTCTAAAAATATATGAAACAAACAAAAAAATGCTATTTCCACTACTTCCTACTTCATAGCTTTGAAAGTTACTTCTATAACATACTTCTTACTTCTAATACTTCCATTATCCAAACGGGCCCGAAAGTGAAATGCAATGTTTATTTGTAAAAATGAATTAATCTTGGAACTAGGAAAATAAAGATGATGTGGCAATTATTTATTTATTTGTTATTTAAATTCATATTACACTCTAAACTCTAATAATTATTCTGGTAACAACTAAAGAATGAATGGAAAGCCTCGGGTATATATATCATCAATTAATTGTACTAATTTTTATAGATTCTTTGAATTCTGTATTTTTTTACTTATGTACTTTATATTTTTTAATAACGTAATGGCTTATTAAATGCCTAGTCATGTTACAATTGTACAACAATCACGCTAAAATGTGTAGTCATGTTCATAAATTGTTTAATTCGTACTATATACATGACATAAAAATGTACATAGCTATTAAATGCTATAAAAGAAATAATATAATTAGCAGGTAAGAAAAAAAAATTGGGGGGGGGGGGAGGGGGAGGTGGTTGTTTCCACCGAATAACATGGAAAAATAAGGTAAGACAAATAATAAATATACTAATTAATTAGGAGTGGTTCCTACTTTTTTCTCACTTTCACTTGACTTCAGCATTTTTTTAGGAGAACTTAAACATGCATTAGAGCTGATGTGGACTCATTTTAACATTACACTTTCAAAATTGCTTTCAATAAAACAAATACCAAAAGTCTTAAAATCATTTCACTTTCACACTTTTACAATTCACTTTCATAAAAACAAACACCCCCTTAACATGGGAGCATTAGTGGGTTAGTTAACAGAGGTTGGGAGAATTTTAATTAGATTTTTTCAAGTTTGCCCTAAAACTAACTATTTTCAGGGTATTATTGGGTTTTTTTAAATAAAGCTCATGGGTCCAAAAAATTAACTTCTCTTAAAGTAAAATAAATAATAGATGATAAATAATAAATATAGTAATAGGTAAATAGATAGACAGTAAATTAGATACCATTTTAGTAAAATAACTAAATAAATTATAAACGGCAACGGCTGCAATGATTAATGACGGAATCTGACTTTGATTATTCACATGCTGACCTATTCATATCTCAGAGTATGGACAAATACATACGATCTGAAATCCTAACTCGTTGCTCCCCCAAAAAAAACCCACCCCCACACACACCCTGTAGGAAACGCCCGCAAACTTTCAAAATCACACACAACCCATAAACTTTTAAGATTTGCAGAAAATCCCCGTGGAGTTTATGTTTTGTAGATTATCCCCGTAAATTAGAAAGAAAACACCATACTACGTTTTGTAAAGTTCACGAGGATTTAGTGTAATTTACCTAAAAGTTCGCGGGGGCTTAGCGTAATTTACGTAAAAGTTCATGGGGGTGTTCTACAAAAGTTTCCGGTGTTTAGTGTGGTTTTGAAAATTCATGAGATTTACTACAAAATGCTAAAAAATCATGGAGGTTGAGTAAAATTTACTCTTTTTTGTTATTATTTTCGAAATCAGCTCGCGTAATACTTTCCTCCCCTCCTATCAAAGCCACTCTCATCTCAGTGAGGGGGAAAAATCATGAAAATAATGCTTTTATAAATAGTATATTTTGATTCATCGTTAGGTGTATCCAATATGCCACAGACTCTTAAGGAGAAAATTTTCCCTTTTTTTTTGGGATATGACAAACTCCTGGTTAAATAAATGGGATCGAATTAGGGACTATGGGTGTTCATAGTATTACTATTGTATCCCCATGTTAATATAACAATCATCATCAATTTAAAAAAAAAGAGATTATCCGGAGAAAAGAGAAATATAATTGTTCTAATTCAGTATTGTTCAACGTTTTTCCAAACCAAGCACATATATGTTTCTCTCTCACATAAGATAATTATTTATTTAAAATAATTTAATCTGAGGAAATCATGTTAATCTCACTATTCTTTTAATGTTTGCTCACCTCATTTGTTTCAATGTATTTACTATCGTCAATGGAAAATTCACATTGGGTTTAGATACATTGGATCTTATCAAATTTGTCAACTTTAACATTAATTATTTCTAACAAGTAATGGTGCGCAGAAATAATATCCAATGATATATCCATAGATACAATATGATTACTAAAATCTATAACCGATATAATATGGTTACGGATGTGATTATGAAATTAAGTATAGATTTATATCCGAATATGTGCAGATCATGCAGCTACATTAATCCTTAAGTTAATGGATTTGAGATTATCGTGATATAATGATGAGTTCTCTTGCATCACATAAACTACTTAGTCTTGATATTATTTGGTTTTCTCATGTCCATTTTCATGAGTTTGCACGTTAATATTACCACATGCATTTCTGTATAGTTATCCGATTTTAGCGAATGTGGATATAAGTTTTATTGCCGAAAGAAATTCGTATCCATATCTCTATTCGATATAGATAAGCGAATATGAATATGAGAAGTAGGACAAAATTTGAAAATCATCCCATTTACAAAAAAATTGTAAAAAACGATCTATTCTAAAAATAATTGTCAAAACCGACCTAGTTTCAGCTGTCGGGCTAAAACTTGGGTCGGTTTTGACGAAAAAAAAGCTATGAAACTTCACGGGACTTGAAGTCCTGTGAAGTTTAGCAACCTATAATGACATTAATTAAGGGGGACAATTCTTTCACGGGACTTCAAATCCCGTAAAAATTTTTAGTTGAAAAAATCTTCACGGTACTTGAAGTCCCGTGAAGTTTGTCCCCCCCCCTCTCTCTCTCAAACCCTACTTGTAACTCGCAACGGCAACCAAATCCCACCCCCCTCCCCCCCCTCTCGCTCATTATCATTATTTCATTAATCAAACACCCTCATTTTCTCTCTCTCGAGCTTCGTTCTCTTCCCTTCTTCAATCCTCTTTCTCTCTCTAGAAATGTCAACCAATCATCTCACCCTTTCTCTCATCTCCAACCTCCAGAACGCCCTCATCGCTCGAAAAGGCGGCGGAGACAAAGAAACCAAGGAAGGGAACCCACCAACGGAAGAGGCCCATATCGAGGAAAGCAATGAAGAGGGAAGCCTGTGGTTCTCGTCACGAATTGCGATGGAATTGGGTCCCCCGGGCTCGAACTCCTCGTCTAGGCTCTCGTTCGCCATGACGAGTGCGACGTCCACGTATGCGCTCCCGAATCGTGAGTTCTTTTTGGGTTTTTTTAAGTAATGATCGTGGTTAATTTTTCGATGTTGTATTTGTTTGTTGTTCAAAATCTGATTTTAATCGGCGATGCTTCTCTTTTTGGGGTTTCTGCATAATGAGGCTTTAACAAATTTCACGGGACTTCAAGTCCCGTGAAATTGTTGGCGACTTTAATCTATTAATAACAGGCACCGCTAAACTTCACGGGACTCCAAGTCCCTTGAAGTTTTATAGTTTTTTTTCGTCAAACCGACCTAGTTCCAGCTGTCGTCCCGACAGCTGAAACTAGGTCGGTCTTGACAATTATTTTTAGAATAGGTCGTTTTTTACGATTTTTTTTAGGGAAAAATGTGTCCAGGCCCCAAAAGCAAAAACTTCATGTGACAAAGCCCCTCATATTTTTCCCCATGTGGATCAGCCCCTTGATGTGTGACACTTTGTACTGCAGCCCCTTTTTATTAATTATCACATGTCAGCTAAAGTAAAATTCACAAACTATCATTATCCTCTCTCCTCTCTGACCCAGCACTCACATCATCTCTCTCTCATCTATCCTCTCTCTCTCTCTCTCTTTCTCTCTCTCTCTCTCTCTCACCTCTCTCTGAGCTTTATTAAGCTCGTCGTCCTGGCCGAGACGCACAGAGCATAAATGAGAAGTATCATGCGCGAGCGGTATCAGAACTGTATGCCCCCGTATCAACAAGACATGACAATTTTTAGTTTATCTTACCTAGAGAAATTTGGTTTAAAATATATTTTGGAGTTAAAAAAAAATATTGGGAGACATTTTTGTCCTTGTCCCTATCCGACACAAACGGATTTTTATTTTCCTCTCGATTGTGTCAGGCACTCGTGTCCCAAAAACAACAAAAAACAAAATTAAAAAAAAAAATATATATTCACTCTCACTCCTCACATAACTGAAAATTTCCCCCTTTATCCATCAATCAAATTAAATTTGCAAGCCTCTAGGGTTTCTTTTGACCGCCCCCAACTTCTGATTGGTGCTCCCCAATTTGGGAATTTTCCTTACTTCTTACCAAACAAACAACGACCTTTGCCCCTTCCAAGGACCGCCCCCCCCAATCAATTGACCTAGTCCATTTTCTCTTCGACCGAGGCCCTTTGCTCTTCCCTTTTCCCCGATTTGATCTCGAAAAGACGCGATTTTGATTCGGTCCCGAGCCCTTTTTCGTCGGGGGACGAGTAAAGGTTGGATCTTTCCGCCCCGTTTATTTAATTTGAGTGAGTTTGTTGATTGTTGTGTGAATTTATGTCGAAAATTTTGATAAATTAGTCGTCAAAAGGGATTTTGTTTGGAGAAATGGCGGAAACCCTAGAGAAGAGTAGTTGGGAGGATATGCTAAGGAGGATTTTACCCCCCGGAACTCCGATTCCCGATGCCCCGGCAAATCTTGATTACTCGATTGCCATCGAGTACGATGGACCCCCGGTGGCCTATGATCTCCCTAGAGTTGAACCTGTTGATCTTAGTTACCCCACAATACCCACTGCCGAGCCAGTTTCGGAGTCGCAGAGGTCTGTCGATGGTGTTGTGCCACCCGTCGTCGATCCGATACCGCTTCCTGTGTCTAGGATTGAAGGTTGTGCTGGTTCGCCTTCTCAATTTCAGAGCCATAGAGATTCCGGAGGCTCGGGAAGTGAGGGAAGTGAGCAGTCGGTGGTTTCGGTTCTGCAAAATGAAGAGTTTTCAGATAATTCGGGTTCGGAGTCTGGAACTGGCTCCGCTCAGAGCTCACCAGGACCTCAGTCTGTAAATGAGCAGAGGAGAGTTGCTGTGGTTACTTTTGACACCGTCGACAAGTCTAAAAGTTCGGAACTTTACATGGAGACAACGGCTTCTTCTCCTCAGTATGTTGGGGTATCAGGAAAGGAGAAAAGGAAGAGAGTGTGCTATAGATGTGGGAAGAGGAAGTGGGAGAGCAAAGAGTCTTGCTTAGTTTGTGATTCGAGGTATTGTAGTTACTGCGTGCTAAGGGCCATGGGGTCAATGCCAGAAGGACGAAAGTGTGTGCAATGCATCGGTCGGCCGATTGACGAGTCGAAGAGGTCAAAACTGGGGAAGAGCTCAAGGATTTTGTCGCGGTTGCTCAACCCTTTGGAGGTTAAGCAAATTTTGAAAGCAGAGAAGGAATGTCCAGCGAATCAACTGCGTCCAGAGCAGCTTATAGTAAATGGGTGTCCTTTGAGGCCTGAGGAGATGGCAGACTTGCTCAATTGCTCCCTGCCTCCTCAGAAATTGAAGCCAGGGAGGTACTGGTATGACAAAGAATCGGGTCTATGGGGAAAGGTAAGTGCTTCTGTTTCTGATGGCTTTAGGCATGGCAGCAATTATTTATTTATTTATTATTATTGTTGTTTTGACATACTGTTTGCTGATGTTTGAATAACATTTTCTTTGGTATGGCAGGAGGGGGAGAAACCAGATAGACTTGTGAGCTCAAACTTGAATTTCAGCGGAAAGCTTTCTCCTAATGCAAGCAATGGAAACACCCAAGTGTACATAAATGGCAGGGAGATCACAAAAGTTGAACTCAGAGTTCTAAAGGTGGGCATTTTGACATATCTCAATACACGTCTTTGTTCTTACGAACAGTTTTTACATGATTTTTCTTGATGTCAACTGATTTTTCATTCTGATATTAATGCTGATAGGTATAGGCAACATCTTTTGCTATTAATTTATCCAGTAGAGAAATTGATTCTCCACTGAGCATGAGCTGATATTATATACAGTTGCTTCCGGTTGCTTATTGTAAAGAACACCTTACAGGGGTTGTCTTATTTGAACAACAAAAACGTGAACCAGCCTTTTGTTGCTTTTTATGATACTAAGCAAATAATGCTGAAGTCATCTTCAAGTAAAGAAAAACGTAACAAAATGCGAGAAATTTCAATATTCTAACCAATTTAGAACATGGATGAAGCAGGAAATAAATTCTGGTGTTTCATTTGATGAGTAAGTTATTTCATATATGACAGACTACTTGTGGTAATTCGTTATGGTGCTTTATGGAATACCCTAAGCTGACATCTTTATTACACATTTCACTTCTTTTGACTCCATAACTTCTTCACTTGCAGCTTGCAAACGTGCAATGTCCCCGTGATACACATTTTTGGGTGTACGAGGATGGTCGCTATGAGGAGGAGGGACAGAATAACATTAAAGGAAAAATCTGGGAGTCGGTGCGTATGTCCCTCTATTGATTGCGTTTTTCATGCATGTCAAGGTTGGTGCTTTTGTCCTTTCCGAATTATTAACATCTTGCTTATGTTCTTTGTTAGACAGACGTTAACACGACTGGCATGTTCGCTCTTGTCACTGCCAGTACCTCATGCAAACTCACATGGAACAAGGGATGAGGCTCCGTATACTGCCAGAACTGTCCCAAATTATTGGGAGGCAAAAAGAATTCAAAAGCTTTTACTAATTGGACTACAGGGATCTGGAACAAGTACTATATTTAAGCAGGTGAGGTCATGTAGCTTCTTGCTTACTCTTTAACAGGTTTGTAGTAACACATATATTGATTCTGCGAACTTATATTATATTGAATTTTATTTTACTAAATTATGTAAACACTGGAGTGTGGACATAATATGCGATATATGAATGACAACATACTGTTCCAAGTATTTTCATGCTCTACTTTTAAATGTTTGCTTTCTAACGTCCTTGCGTGATGTATTGTATGTCGGGCTGCTGTTGTCGTTACTGCATCCAGATTCTTGCCTTGCATTATTCCATGTTCTTCAAAGATATTATTCTTTCTGATATTGTAATTCTAGTGTGTAAGGGTACATAAATCATTATCCGCTAGAATAATCAGGTATTATTCTCTCTCTCTCTCTCTCTCTCTGTGTGTGTGTGTGTGTCTGTCTGTCTCTGTCTCTGTGCGCGTGTGTGTGAGCGCGCGTGTGGGTACATAACTCACTATCCACTAGAACAATCAGCTATTATTCTATCTGATTCTGTGTAATAGCGTTGTGCACTGGGAGGGTGGGGTTTTTTTTTTTTTTTTTTTTTTGGGGGGGGGCGGGATGGCAGGAGGACTTTTGACATCCCTATTTGAAATTAAGCATCGCGATTTTTCAGGCTTAGTGTCCGACTTCTATTTATGGATGCATGTTGTTTCCCTATAGTGTCACACGTGTTAGGTTTATACATATCATTATGTTTAGTGTTAATATTATGCACCGCGTGACCCATAAGTTTCTATTGATGTAACTGTTGCATGTTGTTAGTAGCTGTCGATATATGGTAAGTTTGTTCGTGGAGGTTGTATCTAGCCACTCTTTTTTTTTCCTCTTTTTTTTTCTTTTTTGTGGATGCATGTTGTATCCCTCTAGCGTCACACATGTTAGGTTTATCACATATCATTTTGTTTAGTGTTAAAATTAAGTGCACAACCCATAAGTTTTTATTGGTGTAACTGTTGCATTTTGTTAATGGCTGTCGGTATATGGTAAGTTTGTTCATGGACGTTGTTTTTAGCGGCGCTTTTACCACGTTATAGCCTTCTGTATAATGATCATTCTTTTGAGGTCTATGGTTGCTCACGCTCAAATAAGTAAAGCATTAGTTCACATTGATAATGTCTTTTCTCATAATTATTCAATGTGGTTACTGTTTAAACTTAGTTTTTTTTTCTTTTTCCCTTATTATGGATTGTTTCTATTGATATCTTTTTAACATGATATTCATGGTTGATGGTTTTGTGTTTTGAACAGGCCAAATTTTTGTACGGGAATAAATTCACCCAAGAAGAACTAGATAACATTAAATTAATGATTCAAAGCAATATGTACAAATACCTCAGTATTTTGCTTGAGGGGCGGGAACGCTTCGAGGAAGAGACTTTGTCTAGGTTGAAGGCAGGTAGTTTGGTTGACCGGCATTCAACTGAAGGTAACTTCTGTACTTTGCAGCTTCTGCTTTTTGGTTTAAAGCTGTCTCTAGTATTTAGTTCAAATGTGTTATATTGCTTCTCCTTTTGTGCTCTTCAATTTCGCAGATTATGCATGAAACGGCACATGATTATTGATATTAGTAGTGATTATGTCAGTTTAGCAAACGAAAACCAATTATGGAATGTGCACGATGAGAAGTTTTGGTCATGCTTTTGACATATTCTGTACACAAGATGCTGGAATGTGTGTTTGGGAGAGCTTATTTTTTGGTCAAAGTACCTTATAAGCTAACTTATTCATATTTACATTTGGTGGCATCTCTAATAAGCTAGGTTTTAAGCCCCATTTTAAAAAGTTGGGGTTCCCCAACTTTTAGAAAACTAGCTTGTAAGCTTATCCAAATAAGCTAGGTTTGACCGGCAAATGACTTTTTAACCCGTACAAGTTTTATTATGTTCTTATCATAAAAGCCAAAGCCTACCATATAAGCCAGCGTCACATATAAGCTCAAGAAAAAAAAAGCCTGTCTCAAACACCCATACAAGTTTTATAGCTAAATTGCTTAAAGTTTTATGGACTTGGAGCTTATAATTGAGTTTTCATTTGCATGTATTTCCATTTCTGGTGGTCACTATTGACTTAGTGTCTTAAACACCTCTGTGTTTCCATCAATAATATTTGAACTATAGTCGGCAGCGAGTGTTTAAGCTTCAAATTTGCATGTAAACAAGAGTGAAAATATATTAAATTCTTTTCCTTCCATTTCGCCAGAAGTAGGGGTGTATTCACATAATTCATATACACTAAAAGCTAACCATTGCCTGGGTCTAAGCATGACAACTTTGGGTGACAATGGTTGTTGGGCTTAAAAGGCATAGTGAGTATATTCTCTTTCTTACTCTGTCAACTAGAACAGCCTTTTGATTTCTATGGTAGGACATCTCATGTGCTTAATTTCTTGATTATTGCTTAGGATGTTGTTAGGGGGCTGATATAGCTTGTTGAAACTAAGCAGCAACCATAATGAAGATATTCATGGTTGGGTTGAAAGGACTGGATGAATGAAGTGCTGATTTCTTTCAGTTTAACGTGAAGGACCATGGTTAATTCATAACGCAATCAAATAACAAGGTCTAGCATCAAAAGCAGGATCAAGCTACTGTTGTGGATCTAACCGCACTGGCTGCTACTGGGATGATCTAGGACAGTTTTATATTATTAGAAACCAACGAGCTCCACATGTTTGACATACATTTTCTTCTGCATGACATGAGGTTTAGTCTTGACGGCGTTCCTCATTTGTAGTAATTTCTTGCATATCCAAATTTATGGAAGATTCAGTGATAGTAAGTTGGAACTTTCAGTTATTTGATTCTAGAGAGGACTTTTTTGTGAATTATTAAATTAGATAAAATCTTTCATGCCATTTTTGAGGCACTTCATCCTATTTTTGGTGTTTTAGACTTTTAGTATGGTTCTCTCTCTTGGGTGCTTTTACAGCTGTTGAATGAGCAACTTATTTGCAGTAGTTTCAGGTGAAGATGGTGGTGGCGAGACGAATGCATCTAGTCAATGTGTTTACTCTATCAATGGAAGGCTGAAGCAGTTTTCTGACTGGCTTTTAGACATCATAGCAATGGGAGATTTAGATGCATTTTTCCCTGCAGCAACACGTGAATATGCTCCTTTGGTTGATGAGATGTGGAAAGATCCTGCCATACAGGAGACGTACAAGAGAAAAAGCGAGCTTCATTTTCTTCCAGAAGTTGCCGATTACTTCTTGAGTCGGGTATGTCTTTAGCAGCATTTCAGTTCTTAAGTTCTAAGTAAGTAATGTTATGTTTAAGTGAATGAAAATCTTCGGACCTGACATCCTTTCTATTCTCTTGTATCGTTATGTTTTCTTTCGTCTTCTAATGACCCATGTTCGGACTTGTATGATTTCATGGAAGGTATAACAAAATATTTGGGAAAATTAAAAGCATTGGCTAGTCCTTTGTGTTCTTGGAAGCGCCGTTAATTAGATGCTTATTGTTTGAGCGTGATAATTGGATAAACTTGTACCTTGTAAGAAAAAGTATTTAAGGTTTCGTAAGTACCTTAGTTTTATTAGGGGTTTTGCTAAATGATGCCTCTCTGAATGGGGTTCTTAAATAACTTTTTAGTTGACTAGGCATGAATTCTACTGTGACTTATAATCTTCTGCAAAGGTGAGCGAGGAAAACTGAGGAACTATTACAACAACAACAACAAAGCTTTTATCCCAAATGTTTAGGGTTTAGGGTCGGCTACATGAATCTTATTCTTCCATTCCATTCTTATGGGTCATCTCTTTAGTCAGTCATAATCATATCATTCCTAACTACTTCCAACCAAGTCCTTTGGGCTTACCTCTAGATCTCCTAGCCCCGTTAACTATAATATTATCACTTTTTCTAATCAGTGCAGTTGTACATGACTAAACCATCTTAATCTATTCTCTCTCATTTTATCCTCAGTAGGAGCAATCTCTAATTTACTACGGATGCATTCATTTCTTATTCTATATTTTAATGTATTCCCACAAGACCATCACAACATTCTCATTTATGCTGCACTCATTTTTTTGCACATGGTTTTTAATTGCCCAACACTTAGACCCATAAAGCATAGTTGGTTTTATAACCGTCCTATAGAAATTTCCCCTTAGTTTCATTGGTATTTTATAATCACATAAGACTCTGGGGCACTCCTCCATTTTAACCATCCCGAATCCCGATTTGATTCGATGTACAACATCATCCTCTATCTCACCGTCATGCCTAATCCTCTATCTCACCATCATGCCTAGTGATTGATCTTAAATAGCAAAAATGATTACTTTTAGGCATTTCTTGAGCATCAATATGCACTATAGTCTCTTTTCTTTTCTTAGTTTTACTAAAATATATTAATATTAAGTAACTTTAACATTACCTTTCTGTGAACTCTATTTTTCTGCAGGCAATTGAAATATCAAGCAATGAGTATGAGCCTTCAGAGAAAGATATATTGTATGCTGAAGGAGTAACCCAAGGAAATGGATTGGCATTCATTGAGTTCTCACTTGATGATAGGAGCCCAATGTCAGAACCATATAATGACAATCCTGATGTCCACTCTCAACCACTTACCAGGTGAATTCACCTCTCTTTATGATTGGTTTGGGTTGCATGCCGGAGACAATTTGCTGTTGCCTTGTATTAGCACTCTTGATTTGTTGTTGTTATGGTTTCTAACTTATTGGGACAATATGCTATGCAATAATTTGAACTAATAAAGGTAAACGAGTACCTCATCTTAATTATTTTTGTTCATTCTTTTCATCAGATATCAGTTGATCCGGGTGAGTGCTAAGGGGATGAATGAGGGCTGCAAATGGGTTGAAATGTTTGAGGATGTTCGGGCAGTGATATTTTGTGTATCCCTCAGTGACTATGACCAGTATGGGGCCCCAGTAAATGGCAATAACAGCCCTCTCCAGAACAAGATGATGCAAAGCAAGGAGCTTTTTGAGACCACAATCAGGTTCCACTCCACTTTTTTCCGAATACAAGTCATTTCTTTTCTCATTTTACTTCTCTTTCACTTGACCTTATCTCAGAAACACGTTGATATTTTAATTTAGTGATCACATTTTGATAAGAAAGTTTACTGTACTTAAATACCTCTGGGTATCAAGTTACTCCCCATGTAAATTATCTCTGTGCTGTCTTTTCTCATAGTAATATGCGCTAGAGCTTTCTTTTCCCTACCCCCCCCAAAAAAAGAAAAAAATTCGGAGGGTGAGCTTAATGATTTGCCATACCTCGAGAATTATAAGATTTCAGGAATATCTTCTAAATGATTATTTTTCTTGAAACGAACTAGGCATCCCTGCTTCCGAGAGACCCCATTTGTGCTAGTGTTGAACAAATATGACCTATTTGAGGAGAAGATAAACCGCTCACCCATCTCGGTCTGTGAATGGTTCAATGACTTCTCTCCTGTGAGGACTCATCATAACAACCAGTCGCTAGCTCACCAGGCCTACTATTATGTTGCAATGAAGTTCAAGGATCTCTATGTCTCCCTCACAAACCGAAAGCTCTTTGTGTGGCAAGCAAGAGCTAGGGACCGACCAACAGTTGACGAGGCCTTCAAGTACATAAGAGAAGTGCTAAAGTGGGATGAGGAGAAGGATGACACTTATGCAGTGGAGGACTCTTTCTACAGCACAACAGAATTGAGCTCGTCGCCGTTTGTCAGGCAGGAGTAATCATCTGAATTTTCTGAAATTTTTTTGATAATAATTGTCTACTGGTTTTATCAGATTCCGTCAAGTGATTGATATTTGTTAGGTTTGTAAATGTTGTGATTGTAATGTATAATTTTACAGTGAAATCTTGAGCACCAGCCATTTGGTTTGAAAGAATAAAACAAGTTTGTTTTCTGATCCATCAGCAGGCATATTATTTCTTGCTTTCGACATGCAAATCGGTGATAATACAGTAAAATCCTATGAAGTATGCATTTTAAGCTCACACGCCTGACGAAATTAGTAGAGGGTACTCGCACCCAGTGAATCAGAAACGTATAATCACATATTACCTCGCGTAAGCAACTAAGAATAGTGATGCCCAGAAAACAAACACAGGGCCTGCGCTAAAACACATCACTGAAGAAAACTACACTGTTCAACATCTGAACCTACTGATACACAGTGATGAAAACTGAAGACACAAAATAGCATACCCAAAAGTATCACGCCCCGTAAATTCACACGCAAGGAGCTTATTTGGGAAGGCATGCTCAGGGGCGCTGAGGGACGGCAACATGCGTTTCTGCGTGGAACGAGGAGGAGGCGGCGGCTTTGGTTCTTCAGCTTCGCCTTCAGTACCAGGTTCATCTTTCATAACTGGCAGCTCGGTCCTCAATCGAGTGTCTACACTGGACATACGAGCTTTCCGTATTCTTCCATCCTGAAAATATATCGGTCATCACCACTAAAACATGCGAACCGTTGCATCTTGACAGGTGAAAGGAGTGAGAGGATTTTGAACTTGCGTCGAGTATTGAAGGTTCTGGTAACGGGCATCGAGCTGGTTGGTCTTGATTCAGAGGTGGTTCTACAGGTTGTTCGATAAGTAGTCTAAAGTTTTCGGTTCCTTGTGAGTCATCAGCAGACAGAGAACCTACGGTCTCCAAATTCGTTTGCGATATTTCACTTGTATCCTGAATCGAAAATAGTTGGGGAAATATGAAGATCAATCATACTGGGAGATTGATTAACATCATAAAACCGTGACAAAAATAAAGTAGAAATTCAAATAAGAAAATAGAAAAATATTCTACAGCCGTTATCGGCGACCGATGATGGCCAGAGATTCTGCCTGATGAATAGGTCGGTTTCTGGAAAAAAAATTCCGAAACTTCACGGGAGTTCAAACTCCCGTGAAGTTTAGTAAGCTTTACTAAAATTCACGGGAGTTCAACTCCCGTGAAGTTTTATAGTTCAATGAAAAATTGAACTATGAAACTTCACGAGAGTTGAACTCCCGTGAAGTTTTGAAATTTTTTTTCAGAAATCGACCTGGTTTTAGCGCTGAAACCAGGTCGATTTCTGAAAATAAGTTGAAAATGACTCTGTTTTTGAGATTAAAAGTCCAACGAGGACGGTTTTGAAAATTTATCCCCCTAATAATCCTTTGATTATTAAAAAAACTCACGTGCCATGCACGTGACATTCGTAACGGCGAAAACCCCGCTTTTTTTGTGTGTCCCTCTTTCTCTCTAAAAAATAAAAAAAAAAAACAATCTCCGTCTCCTCCTCATCTCCAGACTCCAGCGCCCGTTCTCAAAACCCCTAGAAAAACAAGCAAAACCCTAGAAATTCTCTCCATGGACTCGATCAGATCCCCGTTCCTCGCCCCCGTTCCCTCCTCCCTCAAAGCCCAGACGCCCCAAACCCGTCAAAATCCCCAAGCCTCGCTCGCCGTCCGCTCCCATTCACTCTCAGCGACGGAAACCCTAACCCTAGAAACAACAAAAAACCCTTCAAGAAGAACCTTTGTCCGACGCACGACGCCCGCCGCCTCATCCACTCCCAGCGCCCAGTACCTCCGCCGCCTCCGCCGCAACCAGGGGCCCCACGCGGAGGCCCCCCGGTGGGTCCGGAGAACCCCCGAGCAGATGGTGCAGTACCTTGAGGACGATAGGGATGGGCACGTGTACGGGAAGCACGTGGTCGCGGCGGTGAAGACGGTGAGGGGGCTCGCGGGGAAGAGGGATGGGGAGTGTGATATGAGGGAGGTGATGGCTTCTTTTGTGGGGAAGCTGAGCTTTAGGGAGATGTGTGTTGTGCTTAAGGAACAGAGAGGTTGGAGGCAGGTGAGGGATTTTTTTGGGTGGATGAAGTTGCAGGTAATGCGAGTTTTTGTCGCATTTTTTGAAGGGTAAATTTCAACTGCATGAACAAAAAATGAACCATTTGAAATTGTTACCAACTCATTGAAAAAATCAGGGGGTTTTCCCCCTCTCGAAAACATTATATTTAAATGAAATGGTGGTTATCTCTAATAAAAGTGTTTATGGTAGTTTCGTGCATGCCCCCAAATTTTATGAATGATAATGTGATCAAGAAATTCATTGTTCATGTATAAATTCTGAAGAAATTATGTGGTAGTGAAAAACAGGTCAAAAATCAAAATATATTAAAGCTACATAACTTAGTGGAGACACATTCTATTGTCCATGAAGGAATAAGTTATTGGTATATAGTTATGATTTTTAAAAAAATCCGTTTAACTCGCTGAATAACATATTGAAACCAAATTATGCAGAACGTTGAATTTATATTTTTAATGATTTTCTCATGAAACCTGTACGAATGGGTTGACTATATCAAAATTTTATTGGCACTAGCTTGTATGTACACTAGTTGCATTGATATAGATGTAACAAATTTAACAAGAAAAGCCTTATATTTGGTGACTATTGTTGGTTTTCTTTTGGGCATGCAGCTTTGCTACAGACCTAGCGTGATTGTGTACACCATCATTCTTAGGATTTATGGCCAAGTTGGAAAGATCAGACTTGCTGAACAGATATTTTTGGAGATGCTTGAAGCAGGCTGTGAACCAGACGAAGTTGCCTGTGGCACTATGTTGTGTGCATATTCTAGATGGGGGCGTCATAAAGATATGATGCTGTTCTACTCTGCTGTGCGTAGGCGGGAAATTTTACCGTCCATTGCGGTTTATAATTTCATGATATCTTCTTTGCAAAAGAAAAAATTACATGGCGAAGTCATCAAGTTATGGAAAGAGATGCTAGATGCTGGATTGAAACCTGATAACTTCACTTATGCAGTTGCTATAGGTTCATTTGTGAAAGAGGACATGTTGGAAAATGCTTTAGATGCCTTTGTGGAAATGAAAAAGTCTGGATTCATTCCTGAGGAGGATACATACAGCCTTTTGATCAGCTTATATGCTAAAAATGGCAGAGAGGATGAAGCTTTACGACTTTATGGAGAGATGAAATCTCAAGGCATCATTCCGAGCAATTATACTTGTTCTTCACTACTGACGCTGCATTACAAAAATTCTGACTACTCCAAAGCTCTGTCACTCTTCTCAGAAATGGAGAAAAATAGGACTGTTCCTGATGAAGTGATCTATGGAATACTCATTAGGATATATGGAAAACTTGGTTTATATGATGATGCCGAACAAACTTTCGCAAATGTTGAAAAATTAGGCCTCCTCACTAATGAGAGGACATATGTGGCAATGGCTCAGGTCCATCTTAATGCTGGAAACATTGAGAAAGCTTTAGATGTTTTGCAGCTCATGAGATCAAGAAATGTCGAGATATCGAAATTTGCATATGGTTTTTTGCTTCGATGTTTTGTTGCCCAAAAAGATGTTGGTTCAGCTGAAGTTACACTCAATGCTCTATCCAGGTGTGGTGCTCTAGATGCAGTCTGTTGCAATGACTTGCTTAATTTGTATCTTAGATTGGGCCTTTTGGAGAAAGCAAAGGCTTTAGTTACACAGATCAGAACAGATCAAGTTCAATTTGATGAAGAGCTGTACAGGACTGTTTTGGAAGTATTCTGCAGAGAGAGGATGATAGCTGATGCTGATAAATTGATAGAAGAGATGGAAAATATTGGGATGAGCAAGGATAAGATTAACATGACATCTGTGATGTCCATGTATGGAGAATGTGGAAGGCTTAGACAAGCCGAGAATTTGTTCAAGGCATTAGAAAAACCTGATGCTGCAGCATGTGCTAATATGGTCTCCTTGTTCTTGGACTATGGCGACATGTATAGAACCAAAGAACTACTGAAATCTCTATTGGAAATGAGTCGTGGCTTATCAGTTGCTAGCCAACTGATCATAAAGTCTGTTAGGGAAGGCAAGCAGCTAATGGTGTCTAGTTTGTATGATTCTTCTATTTCCATTCGTTAATCTTAAGTTGTGGTCTTTTCTGAATAACTTGCATATTCTAAAGTTTGCTTTCTTGCTACAGGAGATGTTGCTAAAGCCGAATCATTGTATCATCAGTCAATTGAGCTAGGTTTCCGACCCGAGGATGCAGCAATTGGTTCTATTATTAGTTTTTACGGCCGGAACCAGCAGCTAAGGAAAGCCTTGGAAATATATGAATCTGCATCAAACTTTTGCCCAGCTGGAAAACCAGTTTATATTTCTATGATAGACGCCTATTGCAAATGTGGCAAAATTGATGACGCAACCCACCTCTATAAAGCAATGGTTGGGCAAGGGCATGTTCCAGATGCCGTCATCATCAGTGTTCTAGTGAATGCTTTGAGTAAGAATGGTATGCATCTCAACTTAAATGCTATGTGAAAATCCTAATAGGTATTTTCTTTGCATCTTGTTGAACATGTACAGCCTTCTTTAGATGCAAACTCATGACTTGCACCTCAATCATTGCTAGCAACATCTTACTTGGTTTGTAATTTGTTTTGTTGTTCACTTTAACTTGTACAACTATGGAGAACATGCCCAGTATACTAGCGATTCCAAAGCCTTAGTCATATCCGGGTTGTCTAGAGAGGTTGCCAGCCAAATGGAAAACTATAGTGAATTCCATATTATTTTCTCCCTGTCTTGACCCTGTTCAATGATAAAAGGCTTAGTCGTCATGACAGCAATGTGATGATGTTGATGATAAATAGACCAATGTACCAATCAACTGTAATGATAATATTTCTTGATTTAAAAAACTAACAAAATTTAAAGGTTCGTATTCCATAGTTCATGATAAAGCAGCTTTTTCTGTTGTGCTCATTGCAACTTGTTACAATCAATTCTATTTGATTTCTTTCTTCAGGTAAATATCAGGAGGCAGAATGCATGATCGATGACAGTTTCCATGGAAATATGGAACTTGATACTGTGGCATACAACACATTCATTAAGTCAATGCTGGATGCAGGTAGGAATATCTCCAGTTATTTAATGCACTAAAAAATAGCAGTTTCCCTTGATCATGCTAAGACATCCTGGTAATTCTATTTGTGTAGGTAAATTGCACTCTGCTGTGAGCATATATGATCGCATGATAACATCAGGTGTCCATCCATCTCTTCAGACATATAATACTATGATTAGGTGATCTCTCCCTCTGATATTTGTTACTTAAGTAAGAAAAAAATTCCCAATGTCATCTAAATAAGTTATTTTGCTCTAATATTAATGATTGTAATTTCCATATGTAAAATAATGCAGTGTATATGGACAAGGAGGGAAATTAGAGAAGGCCATTGAGATGTTCAGCACAGCACAGAGTTTGGGCCTATCACTTGACGAAAAAGCATATACCAACATGATTAGGCACTATGGAAAGGCCGGTAAGTTCTGCCTCCA